TTGTATGGGATGGGTCATCTACATGTATCGAAGATTAAGTTCCGTCATCCAATACCAGATGCCTTCTGCCCTAGGAAGTCTGTTCACAATGGACAGCCTAGTCAGGACATAGATAAGTCAACTTGCATGCCTGCTGATTTCCAGGTCAACTTTGTATCTTCTTTGCACGTGATAATTTTGGATAGGCATTATTGGTATTTATGCTTTTGGCTAGGATTCCGATGCACATGAATGTAACTTTGGTTGAATAATGTTCTTGTATGATGTTTTGGGACTTTTGCATTAGGCAGATATACATGGCCATCTGTCTTTGGGTTCACCTGTTTGGACACAATTCCAGTTGACTGGACGTGGAATTCTCCTGGTGAATTTGATGCTTCCTCAAATCCAGATATGAACTGCATTAAACGTCAGTATTTGTGAACTTGAGGGGGATGCTACTGTAGATGGTTTATTTCGATGCTCAGTTATGCCACAGCTATTGCGTTATCTTTTCTTACTACTGTTCTTTTGCAGATCAAATTGTTACTCATTCATGGTTTCACAGAGATTGTTAATCAGTAGCGTAAGATGTATACATCCCTCTCACAAACTCTTTCAGATGTGAAAATGGTTCAGTCACTTATACCAATTTGGGAGGTTTTGTTTCATCCTATTCATTTGCTGTTTTTCTATGTATTGTTATGTGTCTTACATTTGTTGTTTTATGTTTTTTGGTCCTTAGGAGTATGAAAGGACGGGGATACATGAGGCAGCAATACCTACTGATCCTGCCAAACCACTTCCAGAAGATACTTTGAAAACTGACAGGTAGTCAGAATTTAATAACAAACTTATCAAAGTGCATGGTGAAGCAGAAAGTTCTATGTGTCGAACTCAATTAAGGAAAGATGTAAGGCCTGTGGAGCAGATGACATCTCCAAAAGATGAAGGAAATTTTGTTGGACTCCAAACTGATAATCTTATTGATGGAAACATAATTGGATCTCCGTCAACACAAGATTCTACTGAAGAAAGGGTTTCAAATGCCAAACTGTCATTGAATAAGGAACTTCCAGCATCTCAAGTGATCGAGACGATAAATATGAAGGTATAACAATCCTGATTATGCATTTCTTTTAGCGCCGATGAAGATTTTTCACTCTTTGGCGATACTTTTCTCAGCCATGTGACTTTGCAGGGGCCTGGCTAGTTTTTGGTATTTCCCATTATTGAAATTTTTATTGTAAGTTGTTAGTTGTCTCACTGGTGTAATCGTGTAACTCTTAACTAATAATGGTTTCTCCCTGCATAATTCTGATTTCTTTTGCAGGTTGTTAGAGGTTAGATTCTTGTGTGGAGATTACCTTCTGTTATATTTTGCGCATACTCATAGTTTTTCAATATGTAGTTGGTTGTTGGAATTGTATCTTGCATTGATACGGACCATATGTTTTTCACTCAGGCTGCAGATAATGAAGCACTGGGTCATCCTTGATTTGGCTGGTGATTTAATTGACTTCAAGGGAGAAAAGGAAAAAGCTTCTTACCCTTCAGATCGAAACTCTTCGAAACCTTCAGAGGAAGGGTTCAGTGTTGGGAAACTGTGCCATGATGGCATTTTTTGGGGTAATTTGGGGAGAAATGAAGAGAAGAATTTTTGAGGATGTGGTAGGGGATGAGGTAGAGCAGCTTTGGGACTGTATCCGATTCTGGGCATCGCTTTGGGCGTCTGCTTCTGAAGAATTTAGGTAGATTAGCTTTCAGCTCATCCATCTAGATTGGAAAGCCGTAGTTTTGTAATGTAGAGTTTTTTTAGCCTTTCTGTTTTGTGTGGTGGCCTTCTTGACCACCTCTTGTTCCGTTAGTGTCTTGTTCTTTTTTGAAATAAATATATAGGATAGAGACCCAAAAATTCCCCTGAGGATGCCCTAATTAAAGCTTAAAGGGAGCCTGGAGT